TCCACTGAAGTAAGAAAACAATTCCCACTGATTTGAGCAAGATTCAGGAAAGTTAAAAAAGATTTACACATTGAACTTCTTAAAACTTTCCTAAGCTAGAGTTCAGCAATAAAATAAAAAAAAAAAAAAAGAAAAATGAGGTACTTTTAATCTCTTCCTGCACTTGCTGTAACTGGGTTTTCTCTAAGAGAAACAGTATGAGTACTGGGACATACTTGGTGCCACAGTGGAATGAGCCAGGACGTCACAGTATGAAGCTAAAACTTCAAGGACATACACTGCCATCTTTCACACTTATTGAAGAAGAATCCTCTATCAGATCTGCATTTCTGTTCTGACCACCATCTGGCATACCCAAGAAGACTTGGAGCAGCTGGAAATGAAGCCAAGTTTTGTGGACCAGCATGTAAATGCTTGGTGGGTAATGTGCTCAGTGTCCACTTGCAGAGCCATTCTGGCCCATATATTGTAAACGTATTTCTATATCTGAAGACATGACAGGATTCAAGTTTAAGTTCAGCTATTAGACTTTTGCCAAGGTAGAAATGCTATGGACTTTAGGATTTTTGACTGGTCTTTAAAAGGCTAAGAAATGTCAGAACAAGTCAGCTCCGTATTTTAATCTCTTACTGGTATACAAAGAAATCTGAATTTCATTCTATGCAACCTTTTCTCTTTAATCTGAAGAATTTGCCTATTTTTAAACAAGAATGATGCATTATTCTTTCACTTAAGTAGGAGACAAATCCAAAAAGCCTAATGTTCACTGGTGTCCTTACCCTCTTCTGAAATTTTCTATAGGTGGTAGCAGCAGGCAGACAGGCAACATACCATACTTTGAGATTTCTGCCACTGAAAGATGGCACGGTAGTGCCAAGCATGATCTCATCTCTTCTGTCACATACCAGCTGCCATTACTGATATTTTATGAATCCTCAGCATCTCAAGTGAAGGTGATATATTTATGAATATACTAAAAATAAAAGCATTCATCCTGTATAGACTTTCCCTGCAAGAGTAAGAATGGAGAAGAGATCTTTCTCACTTACCAGTCTGAACCATGTGAACAACATCATTTCTAGTCACAACAGCTAACACAACTTTGTTTAAAATACAGACCTTCCTATTTTATGTTTCATGCTGCACCACTCTTAACAGATCATTAAGTCATGCCACGCTGATTTATGTCATGAAAACTTCCCAGAGCAGAGTGAAATGCGTCATACAGTCACATTGCACTTAAATGTGAATAGCCTGCATTTAATTAATATGAAATTTGGAAAATTCATGACAGGTGTCTTATCTATTTCTCTCTTCTCCAACATAGTAGGGAAGTGAAATTTTTGTAACTTGGTTGGTCTCCCTTTACTTCCTTAGCTAATTCCAAATACTTAATTCCTGTCCAGGTGGCAAAAGTATCTAGCTATTTGCTGCATGTCGCTTCTTTCTGGGAAGATGAGTCATAGCATACAACTTGACTTACTGCAAGGCAACTGAAATGCAAAGAACTGTATTTTCACTTGGACATAGTTGAAAATAATTTGAATACAGAGTACTCTGTCATCTGAATGACTTTTTGGACGATTACAAAAAAGCTAACTGAAACATCAAAGAGATCTTCATAGATCTTCTATTTGAACTTCAGGTGCTCCATCTCAAAGCAATACAGCAACTGCTTTTGAAAAGAGGGTCAGTGTTATTTCAATGGGACTATATGAAACTTTTGGGCTCCTCCCAACTTTTGTGCTTCTTTTAGCAGCTATTCTCCTGCCCAACTACCATAAGAAATACAGCAGAATGTGAAAGTGAGAAAATACTAACTTACTCATCTGGAAAATCCATCTAATGAGTGAAATAACAATAGAAACAGTCTAAATAGGGATAAATATCGTTTCCTAAACCCACCTGTTGTAAATCCTGGCGGAAATCGTTTCAAAAGGTTATAAATAAGAGATCATCTATTTTAGAAACGGGCAACACATTTATTCCTAGTAGCAAATCGAAACATGATGAGTAATCTGGCATAGAGCTGTTAAATTCACCAGGTGCCATCCACCACGGGCAGAACCATACCTCATTTTGTCTATGTAGTATATACCATATGTTAATAACTGCTTGAACCAAACATGGTCATTGGTAATCCCACTTGAATTTTCCACTCAAGCTGAAATTTCAATAAAAATAACACAACTATCTGAATGTAAATATTTGAAATAGGCAAAAACTGAATAGAAAATGAAAATTATTCAGTTTGCAACAAGAATTGCAATCCTGGAACATTAAAAATATATTTCTCTATTCTTCAGTGATAAGCCACTGAAAGAAAATGGTTTGGTCTTGTTTAAAACACAATAAAGTCAAAACATGTCTTCTTTGAATTGGAGGTAGTGATGAAAGGTAGAGGTACCTAGATAATTCTCAGGTGTCACAAAAGAATATAAACTTTCAAACTGCTCCCCTGCAGTTTAACACACACATAAATATATAAATATGCTTCTTTTAAAATGTCACCCTCCTAGAGAGCTGTGTGCTTAATAACATTAAGTAGTGTTTGCTTTAGCTTCCTTTCTGTAAGGAGAGGTATTTTTGCTCTGCATTCCAGTTAACTTCCTGAACAAAAAAAATACTACAAGATTTGACTCACCATTCTTGTCAAATGACAATTTTAACAGAAGATGACTTGGGCTTCTTGGTGGGGAATGGGTGGTAGAGAGGGAATTTACTTTGTTTTGCCTTACTGTTTCGAAAAACAGGATAGGTAGCCACCTGCTTTGCCTACAGAGATATGAACTGTAGAAACCAGCTCCATTTCAGGTCATTGAGCAAAAAACAATAAAGGTATACACTATCATAAGGACAGCATTGCCTTTTTCTACAGGTACAGGATCAGATAAAAGTGATCTAAAGAAACTGATCTGCTTATACACAGCAATCACTACATACACACTTGTATGGAAGTTCTATATGTTAAATATCTTTGGGGTTGGACTTATTTACTTAATCTTTTCACAATTCACAAAGATACTCACTAAAATAAATAATTTGATAAAGACCATATGCCCATATAATAATTATTTTAAGGTCAACCATTCTAATTTATGTTTCCTGAATAAATCATGTAAAAGAAGAATTTTCTTTGTACCAGATGTTCACTTGCAACAAAATAGCATAGACAAGGAATATGCCAAATTGACCACAGCATGGTCACACAAGGGGATCATATACCTGGACATAAAGTAACTTGAGACCAAGAACTTCTGTATAAGCTTTGGAGATGACTCAATGGCCTGAAAAGTCTTAAAAAAGAATCAATGCCCCGAAATGGGACACCATCAACACTGCTGAAATCTGTAATTTGCTTGTGAATCTCCAGTCATCTATTTTATGTGGCTTTCACAGAGCCTGAAAAACGTCTCTGCTTTGTGATTTTTCTTCTTGCCTTTCTTTTAAGAGTGAGCAAAGTGAGAAAAATATCTAGAAGTAAAATACTTTTAATCTTGTAGCATTTTCTTAGTGAATAAAGAAGCAGCCGTAAATCCCCCCTCTCTCTAAAAAGAGAGATTTACATTAGAAGTATACTAAACTCATACTATATTTTCTAAGCAAAGGAAAATTTTCTTACAAGTTTACTCCAGCTTTACACTGTTAAAACCCTTCAGAATTAATTTCTGGACAACTAGCCTAATGCCAAAGTAATATAGTAGTGGTTGGGTTTTAAATCTTGCTACCAAAATCCCAAATGGAGAACAGTGAATTTCCATTCTGCACAGGGAATTCTCCAGGTGTGGATAAGCCATGCCGTGACTGTTGAGGTACCTGGTTTGGCTCTACATATGTTAGTTCAAGCAAGCTAACAAGCATGGGATCACCTTAGTCCTGGAAACAGAGGCCTAATCTGGATTTTATCTTTAAATTATTCCAAACTTTCTTCCTTCAAACTCGTAACTGTGAAGAGATGAGACAAGTTCAAACTCACAAACTTTAGTCAAACAGGTATCTAACAAAAGTTTTGACTAAATGAAGACCAAATGCCTCGGCAATCTCCATAAACACTAGTACCAACTTTTCACACTAATAAAAAAAAATATCAGAGTAACCATATTATTATTCTAAAAGATATATCTAAACACAAACTACAAAAATCAGGCGTAGTGCAACTGGTTAAATTATTTAGAAAATCCACACAGGCACAGAGTAAACATCCGTGAAAGAAAATTAAATAATATGTTCAGGATATTTCTGAACACCAAAAGTGCATTTTAGCTACTGATAGTTGCAAATTTTCCATTATGCTCAGTTATATTTTTACAAATTTTTGGAAGTAATTTCAAAGGCATAGGAAAAAAAAAAAAATTTCAGTGTGGGAATTAAAAATCCAGAGGTTGTCCTCCTCTGGACTTGTTATTCAAAAAAGTCTGCATCCTATACAGTGCATTCCAAAATGCACTGCAAGATGACCCAAGGGCAAAAATCAATGATGAACTTTCTTAACAAGCACGGAAATCTACTCCATCCCCTCTTCAATTTCAGGACTACTTCATTTCAAAACTCTTTGAAAGATACAAGAAAGACGGGACATGCAAAGCCTGTGCTTTTACTGCTATGCAATAAAAGCATAATAAGCTGATTGTCTAGGGCCTGGTAGAAGCTCACAGAAGTCAATACAATCCTTTCTGTTGATTTCAATGGCTTTTATACCAGACCCTTAAATAGACTGTTAAAAACATCTGAATGAGTGATTTTGGCTCAATACCACCACACCCACCCTGTTTCACTGACTGGTATTTGTTGGTGGTTTGGCAAATGCATTTATACATGACACAGCAGAAAATACAAAGTTCAGAAATAGCACTTCGTCAGTCAAAATCACTTGCCTGGTGTTAGACAGTTAAAACTATTAAGCACTGGCTGCTAATTTCAGCCAATTAAATGCTGTTGCAAATGAAAGATGAAGCATTGCATGAAGCCATGCTAAAATGGATAGAAGGATGGTTACTTACCAACGGGGCGAGCTGTTGACATTACAATGGTGTAGTGAGAACATAAAAAAGAAATTAAAAAAAGAAAAGAATATCTGTCAGAATGCATGACGTGTAATGTTACCTTCCACTATGGATACTACCATGATTGCTAACCCCTCAAATGACAGCCTAAGTAAAATGTTTACTGTTGTTACTGTTTAGTCACGTGCCACTATTATCACATTTACTTGAGCACAGCATCTGAACAAGCTGACTGGAACCATTCTCTGAGAAACATTTTTATTATCTTCGCATGCCATCATCAAGTATCATTGTTAATGCCTGATAAAAGAAAAATTGCATTGCATTAGCACAAACTTTTAGATCCTGATGGACACATCAATTTAAGCTGCAGACTGCCAAATGTCATGCCAGTAGATGCAAGGCTTTGCTTTCTGAGTCAAATACCAATTGAATTTTAAGCATGACCAGTCAGTACAGCAGTAAGGGCTACAGAAAGCCCAGGACAGTTTTTCTCATTCAATAACGGGCATGAAAGCTTACAGCACACTGCTTTTTCCTCACTGACAGTGCTGATGAAAATATAACAAATAGGCTGAAATGGCCATAGGGATTTCAAGCCAGAACCTCCCAAATTACTACTTAGATAACTTCTACTTCCTAAAAAAATTGCTGCTAAATGATTGACAGGTTAATACTGTTTCAGGTTGATATCAAGATTGAAAGCTGCTGCTGCAACAAGTGATTTCTTGATTATAGCAACAGCCCTTCATTATACTTGTGCTGGGGCAGAGGGCTGTCAGTGCCTCTGTTAATAAAATATAGACATCCCCTTTCAGAAGAGCTGAAAAGTTGGACATAAAATTGACTCCAGGTTGCAACTGTGTAGGTGAAACCTCCCTTATTTTAGCAGCAGAAGTAGTTACATATTTCTGAGCAACAGCACATTCTTTTTTTCCTTTTTTTCCTTTTTCTTTTTAAGTTAACCAGCTCCATATGCTTATGTCAAATGTAAGATAGGGTCAAATGTAAGATATGCAGATTCAGAGTTAACACAACACGCAAGTACCTTCTTAGTTATCAACCTTTCTATGGCTTTATCCTTAGTTCGGCATACCCACTTCATTTAACTATTTCAAGCCTGCTGCCCTTTCTCACCCATTATCTATTTGAAGACTTTCTGGCTTCTAGTATTATGGACATATCCCTTCTTCTGGAGAGAGATGAGGAATAAGAGGGATATGCACCTTTCCAAGAGAGGGTATGAAGGCTGAGTCACAGAATTCAAATTCTGTTGTTGTTTGTGACAGCGTAACACAAACTTCCTGACTGCATCCTCATCCCCTGCTTTGAGAAGATGGAGCCATGAATGAAGGAGCTAAGGATTATGCTGCTGTTGCCAGGTTTGCAGCTGTAACTACACAAAACTTGCAAGGGCCAAGGCACCCTCAAAGTAAATTTTGAAATGCTATGTGGTTTTGCTCCTCTACATGACAAGTGGTTATAGTAAAAGCAGTTTCAGACAAAACTGGCAAAAGTTTAAGAATTCAGAATTAAGGCTTCCTTTAATTAAAAAGACCATTGTTCGTGGTCCCTCTAAAGTCAATGGGAGTTTGCCCAGCCCTTTGTTTCCAGAAAATTCAGAGTAATAGCTTTCTCCATTGAATTTCATGGCTTTTCTCATTTTCTGTGATATCCTGAACATTTAGTATGCTTATAATATTGTGGCTTCCTTTGTGTTGGATAAACACTATGTATTTGACTGTAAATGACAAACCCAGGGGTAAAAATATCCAAGATAATGAAAACCTGCTTTTACTGTAGGAAAACCGATTAAGTTATATATTTCCTTGGGTTTTTTTCACCTTAATTTCATCAGGTCCAAGCTTCAGTGATTTCAAAGGACTTTTTGCTTGGTTCTAGCTATTGTTTATATCACAAGTCTGGGTAGCAAATCTGAAAGGCTTGCTCCAGTAATGTATACAGTGGACACAGTTCAGGAGTGTTTAAAGGCTATCGAATTGGTTGCCAGATTTATTGGATACCATGATTCTGCCTGTGACAAAGGAACAGAGTGAGAGTATTTCTGGGAGTTTGCTGTAGTGACTATTTTTCTCACGTTACAAAATGGAAGAACTATCTCTTACACAAGCATATAGCAGGTAAACCTATTTCTTCAGCTTAAAATGGGAAGAGCTGCATTATCACTTATTGTCTAAAGCAAACACTGAGGTAATATTTTAGCAGATGGATTATCACAATTCTCTCTTTTCTTTGTTATATAGTAACATCTCCCCCCACCCCCCAAAGCCACTCAGTGCTTTTTTTCCCTTTGAATTCAGCAAATTAAACTGAACTGTGTCCATGCATTAAACGGATGGAAATGGAAGCTGGCCTCTTGGGTCAGTTGACCCCGGTTCTAATAAAGCAATCCACTGAGACTTTGAACATTTGATTTAATGTGTATGAAAAGAGGAGAACAGATAAAGCTAAAAATGTTTTTATTAACCTTTCACAGCTCTACTGAAAACCGTCAGCATGCACCACTAAACTGTGAAATAGTGTCTGCATGATATCCATTGTGCCAAATTGCTGCTTATCTTTTGGAATGAAATAATAACTATTATATTCTATTTACTCATATGGAAATACTAGCCTACAAAATTTTTCTCTCCCCATAATCTTTAGCGTGTCTATATCTACTGTCACAAAAGACATTTTGGCAACTCATTATTCTACCGGTCTTAAAACCTCCTTACCACATCAAACAGCAGCATATAAACACTGAGTGGATACTAGACACCAAGAATATTTTAGGAAAGAATATGTTAGTCTTTACCTTGTAATACTTACAAAATTTAATTAGGATTTTCTTTTTCTTTTGGCTAGGGTTTATCTTTCAGATAAAGAGTAATGGTAGAGAGTTTAATTATGGCAGAGCTAATCACATAATACTACTATCTGCATTATGTTTGGCATTAATAAACATAGTTACTTACTATACTCCTTATACTTATTAGAGAAAGGAACATGAATAATAGCCTAAACTTATGGCTCACTTATTAAAGTCTATGCCCACGGTTACGTAGTGCTTGCTTATGCACATATATGCATCTGTTCTTCAATAAAAAAACATTGGAACAGCTTTTTAACTGCAGGGAGATCCTATCCTATTGAAGTCAATTAAATTTTTTCCTGAGATATCAACAGGACCAGGATTTCACGTCGGTTGAAAATCAGTATAGCACCCACAATTGCAAAGGGTGTGTGAAACCCAAACAATATCAAGTAAGGATGTGGCCCATTTCACCAGAAAGCAATTTATCCATGTAGGACACATTCCCTCCCTCCACAGGAACACGCACCTCGCACAGTGAGTGTAGCAGAGGCTTCCACTTTTCCAACTCGATTCTCAGCAATGCATGTGTAGGTTCCTTCATCTGTGCTCACGGCCTTCTTAATGCGCAAAGTATAATCATCTTTGATGTCATACCTGTGTTACAGAAAAGGAATGAAAACTCTTTCTGTAGACAACAGAAATGAACAAAAACTCTCACCTGGAATATGCCAGTCTGAATCTATCTTGGAGCCAACTTTGGAAGATAAATTATTATCTAGCATTAGATAATTCCACCAAGCATTAATCTTCATGACATTTTTATTGCACTCTGCATTAGTTAGAAACTTTACATAAAATTAGTATTGCTATGTTCACTCAGTATTAGGGCTTTACTATTAATATCATTCACTTTGTCCTTGATCTAGAGCAATAAGATAAAATTAAGCTATCAGACATCAGTTATCAATACATGACAGCTCAAGTTTATCATGCTTTTAACTATGTGAGCTACACATTTTACCTTTTGCTGATCTGGAAATTTCCCTTTCTATATAGTTTTTCTCTACAGCAGCAACCCCTTAGGGAAATGGTGAGCACGTTGGTAAGATCTGACACTACATGATTACAAACAATAGAACATATATTTAAGCTCTGGAAAGTGACATTTATTGAAGAGGCACATTAAAGGAGATTTATCAATTTCACAGAAATACTACAAAATTATTCATTAAGGGTGGACAATAACATTTTCTCTTTCTTAAAAGAAATTAGAAACAATTCAATTATGCTTTGTCCATTTCTTTGTTTCTATTGTTGTAATAATTCTAAAACTATGAGTATAAAACTCGAAATAATACAAAGTACTTCAGCATGTGAACAATCATTCTCAAAGCATTTAGAGTGCTTACACCTAGAAAAATATTTTCTGTTAAATTGTTATTGTCCTGCAGAAGTCATGCTTAGCAAACTGTTTTAGGCTGTGATCCAAAGCTCATTAAAGTCAACGGGAAACTTTATCTTGTATCTAATTTCTTTGGCTCCCAAATCAGGAAAACTCTGGTTTTCAGCATGGATATTTTACTCTTGAAATACTCTCTTGTAAAATTATTTTCAACAACATTTCTTCTAGACATAATAAGCCCATGATACCTTAAATCACCTTGAATCTAAAGTTAGCTTCAGATTCTTATGTATCAAATAGTGAAAGAGGAACACGAAATTGAAGAAAGATCGAGACTTCAGGAGACGTTAATACCCTTTCTCACTGTAGACACACTCATGACATAACTTCAGAAGAACTAATTTACCTTCTCTTTGTTATACAGTAAAGACCTTGTAGACTTGTTCAGCAAACATACTGAAATCATATGGAAGAGCACCCTTAAATGTTTTTATGAATAAGAATGTAATGCAATTAGTTCCAGGAATGTTGTGAGGCTCTACGAGTATTTTTAAACACTTTGGGAATCTGAAACATTTATTTCTGTGTACATAACATACATGGCTATTGGTTCCTTTAGTATAGATTTGTAGAGAGAGCACTGTGTGCTAACAGACTTTAAAGCACCTTAACTCAAAGGATCCTACATGTCGAAACATTTAAAGTTCTATTATATCTAATTAAAGCTCACAACATCAATTAGAGCATTACTAGCAATTCCAAGAATAGAGAAGTCAAGACATCTTTTCACACTCACCACAAAACAATACAGCTTCATTCCATATTCAGTAAGTCCATTACATACATTAGCAAAAAATAAATTAAAAAAAGACCAAATTGAGGCTAACCATTCTGTCAGAGATAAACATAAACATATATATAATACCCCTTTTGTTAGGTGTTACACTTAATTAAATGTATATGCAATAACTCAGGTTTCACTAATGAATAAGAGATATGCCAAAGGAAAGAATAAGTAGATGCCATAGCAAACTTCAGAAACTTTTAGGGACAATTTTTTTGCTAGCATAGTACCATTGAGGGGGACAAAAACATTATGGCACTAAAGAACTTAATATGCCATTTCTGGAGCAGTACAGATCTATTGCAACTACATTCAACAGTCATATGCAGTTGTGGAACATTTCTTCTTGACTGCTCACAAATTATGTCATTTTGCATGCTGTGCTACACTAGTCAATGGCAAACAGCAATCACTGTTTTCATAAGAGAGAAAAGGCAAATTGTCTCCTTAAAAATCTCAAAAATATGACAACAGTATCCCACAACGATGGAGCAGTTATTTGTCTTTGGCAACCACAGACTTGCAGACAAGAGAAAATGCTTATTTTCTTGACATAAGGCCAGCCCTAGGGGACTAAAAATATAAAGTTGTATTCAGCTCCTGTAAGATGAGAAAACTAAGATCAGTTGTAATATAAATGTGAGCTGGGTATAGGAATCACAGTTATAAAGCTAGGCAACAATTAACCATTTATTTAATTGCCTTTTTTTTTTTTTTTTTTTTTTTCCTTAGGACAAATAACATCCCTGTGGTTCACTAACCAATGCTGAGATAAAAACAGACAGGCAGTAGGACTGTATCTGACTGAGTTGTTGCTTGAACTGGGATGCAGGCAGCATGGGACAGGGCCCTCCAGTCTGCTGTGGGCTGCAGCTGACTCGCTCTTCATCTCACTGATGCGCTGGTGCTGGCATGCCAGCCAGCTGCCTTGGAGGCTTCAGCAGCCTTTATGCCTGCACCTGCCAATCATGCAAACTGTGCAAAGGCTGCTGGGGGAATGAGCCGCTGCATGGCATGCCAGGACCCAGAGCGAGGGTACAGGCATCATCACCCACTTGGGTCATGAAATGGAGGGTGGCATAAACATGTCACCATCATGACCCAGTTATCAGCTACTTCAAGGAGAGGTCCAGCTCTCCTAGTCTGCTTCTCCAACGAGGCCACACTGGGTTTTTGGACCACCCTGACAGAACGTGCCATCTAGCAATTAGATTCATACATAGATGGACCCATGGGACCTTATAACCATCTGCTGTCCTGAAGTATTGATACGCTGCCCCTCCGTCATCTGTTCCACCCACATTGTCCCCAGAAGTCACCACGGTTCAGTGAAGAGCTTTGACAGATGAAGCAGGCAGGAAGGAGAAAGGAAAAAACTTGCTTTTAGCCTGATCCACAGCAGCACAATTTGCTTGTGTGAGAAAGGGACCATGAAGTAACAAGGAGTGAAGCCTGAATATGTTTTCAGTTTCTCAAGCATCCACCTGCATAGTCTCGAACAGTCCCTTGTCTCTTCTCTGTCCCAGGGCCTCATATTCCCATAGCGAGGTGTTTTCACCTGAGTTTCTGGAGAAGTTCACTCACATCTGGATTAGTGCTACTGAACACTTGGGAATCAGGATTAGGGCCTCTCTGACTGCTAATACCAATCACAGAGAGAGGTTACCAGACTCCTGGATTGATAATGGAATGGCAGAAAACCAGAGTGTACTGGTTAAGTTGTTCCTTAACATTGTCAGTGCACTAAGAAGGCAATGTCTTCAAAATATGTGCAGTGTCAAGAAACACCTTCTGACATATTGCCCAAATATTGCTGACTCCTAGCCAATTAATGCCAACATTCAGCTAAAAGCATAGGCCTTCAGAAGTCAGTTTCACATGTTTATGGCCATCTAATTGATTTTAAGTACTTCTCTCTGTTACACATTTGGAGGTGCTTAAAACCTTTCAGTTCAGCTTAGACTTCAGCCATCAGACTGAGCTCAGCGAGGTCTTTTAAACAGCTAGTCAGCTTGTGCCTAGAGATAAACCAGCCACTTTTGGGCACCATGTTACATAATTTCTGTTCTACAAGTCACAGTTTGAGTAGATCTGCCTTTAATTAACCAAGGAGGAAGGGGGGGGGGAGCAGGGGACTGGAAGGGAAGAAAGAAACACAAGAAACAACAAGCAGATGAGAAAACACTGCTGGTGAGGAATTTCTAATAGAAATTGGGTGATTTTGAGTGAAATCTGGCAGTCTCTAGCACATGTGAATGCATTCATTGTTGCTAGTTTTGATTAATGACAGTTGTACAATAGTGTGCTGACAGTCACTGCCATACAGACACAATTTTTTTTTATATGAAACTGCTGAAAATGCAACCCAATCAGATTTGGCCCCCGAACAACATGTGCTATCATCACTGTACCGTGAATTGAGATTGATTGGTAACCAGCTGTGACAAAGTGGGAAAAAGAGCCTTGTCTTTTTCAAGAAAAGAAAAGAAGAAAAAAAACCCCCTGAATTGTGTCAAAACCATTACCATCTGCTCAACGAAATAACAAATAAAACAAAACACATTAACTGTTTTTAAGTATCACAAGTTAATGTACTGAGGTTGGATTCATGCACTGGCTTAAGCATCTAAGAATAATCTTGAATTGAAATGATTTTGTCACAGTTATATTTTTTTCCCCCCACATTCAAAAGTGTATCTGTTCATACTCAGCCACCAATCTTCAGGGTTATCAAATGAAAAAAAAGAGAGAGAACTTACTGAACTTTGAGAGATTTAGCAATATGCTTTTTTGCATTCGATATAAATTTTACTGAGTGCTTCACAGAACCCCTAGATTTCCAGATTTTCAAAAATGTACATGCAGCTATGCATATAAATATATGCACCTCTTTGTCTTTCACAGGCACAGGTAGCAAAACTCTGTCTGCAGCTGGAGTCATTACATTCCTAGACATCCACGTAGGCCTAACTGGTAATACATGGATGCAGTTGCTTCAGTAGTTTATTTTAAAGTTGTGAGAATGCATTACTGAATTCAACAAATTCAACTCAAAAAGCCATATTTGTTGCTACAGGGAGTTTGCAGGAGAAAAAGTCACATCTTAACTGCTGCTAACTGATGCCACTGGCCTCAAAAACTTTACACAAATTTATATGAGGCACCTATTTTCTTCTAAAACATTACTGTAAATAAAAAAAAAAGTAATGGAATCTTTGTATGTAGGCTTTGTGAACTTTTTTTTTTTTAGAGATGGCACAAAAATTACTTTGCTCTATTTTCTTTTGCCTGTTTGCCAGGCTTTTTTGCAAAATACACACAAAGCTTCAAGATTACTCACAACATCAATGATTAGGGAGCCCAAATAGAAAGAGGCTACTAGCCAAAAACAGAGTAAACAGGAGGTAG